ATAGAAAATAAGAAGAATGATTGTAAGCAAGCAGATGAAAAATAAAATAGGAATTAGACAATGGTCTTGGTCTAACATCTTGGATGGAAGCTGGCCACTATCTGAAATCATCTGCTTGTTCTGAAGGTCTTGAGTTAGTTGTCTAATTCAAAGATCAGCTACTTTTAGAGGATGTCTGAGAATCCTGTTTAAGGTCCCTAATGGAGCATGCTTCCAGTTTTGCCAGTTCTGAATTGCTTCTTTAGTTGTAAAATGTGAATGCAAGGATTTACTCCCTGGAGTTTTATTTCTGTACTTGTTGTTAGTAGTACCTGATAAGGTTCCTTCCAGTGAGGTTCAAGAACAATTTTTCTCTGCTGACTCTTCCAACAGATGATGTCTCTTGGTTTAATATGATGAAGAGGCTGTTTAGAAAGGCAACCTGCCTGTGATAGGACTGGGCATAGTATATGAGTCCCTTGCAATATTTTGCCATGTCTGTGTGCAGCAGAGCAGAGTCTTGTATCAAAAATAAAATCTTTAAACACAAGGGCCTTCCAATTACCAGTTCATAGGGGGATAAACAATGTGGACCATACCCCATTAGGGCTACAGGGATGCTCAAAGGTTTCTGACAGTTTTGCTATTTTTCTTTTAAGAATGCCATTCATTCTTTCAATCTTTCCAGTACATCATGGCTGGTAATAGCCGTGTAGTTTCTGAGTAAGGAGTAATGCCTTACAGAGTTATAATAATTCTCATGAAGTATATGCCTTGTTCACTTGATATAAAAGTTTGTACTCTCAAGATTGGAAACACAAAATCAACCAGAATTTTAGTAACTTTAAGGGCTGTAGCTTTTTGCCAAGAGAATGCTTCTACTCATCCTGAAAATAGACATAAAATAATTAAACATAGTCAAATACCATAGAGGATGGAAGCTGTATAAAATCCATCTGTAAGTGTTCAAAGGCCCCTTGAAGCTTTGGTTCCTGGCCATGTCCCAACTTTACAGTTTTTCCAGACTTATGGTGTTGACAGACAAGTGATGCATAACTTGAAAATGACCTTACCTATCTTTTTAAAGTATTCCCAGCATGTTGATTTAAGATAGTAATCAATTTATCTGTATCATGATGAGTCAATTCATAGTGAAATTCAGCTAATATTTATTTGAAATCATCAGGTGCCACCAAACAGCCTTGTTGGGAACCAGAGATGATATGAGTGAAGGTTAGAACCATATTTTTTCAGAATCAGTGGCTAAATGTTAATATTGTATAATGGTCTCTAAGAATCCCTCCAGGGATTTATCATTGAGGGTTTAGTTAGAATCACAACCTTGGTTAAGGTTGTTTAGCATAGTAATCTGCTAGAATATTTCCTTTAGCTTCCATATTATTTCATTTTTCATATGAAATGAAACTTTTATAAGAGCTACTTCTTTATGAAGTAGGAGTACGTCTAAAGGTGTCTTAAATATCTTGTCCAATTTTGATTGAAGTTACAGCAGAGTTAAGAAATCCTTTGTCTCTGAAGCATCCCAAAGTCATATATTTTTAAAAACCATACCTGTATATGTGTATTTACTCTCTGATCTTTGGCTAAATGCATTTGTTCTGCCACGTGGGCTGATATTTCCTCAGGAAGAGGATTATATTCTAAAAACCAAAACCAAACCCGTTGCCACTGAGTCAATTCTGACTCATAGTGACCCTATAGGACAGAGTCGAATTGCCCCATTGTGTTTCCAAGGAGCAGCTGATTGATTCGAACTGCCGACCTTTTGGTCAGCAGCCATAGCTCTTAACCACTGTGCCACCAGTAAAAGCAAGCTTAAATTAGTAATAGCATATCCTGCTTGATAACCTCCAGTTTCAAGTGTTGAGGTATGATCAGAGTTCTCTTGTCGTTTACAGGGCTTGGAACAGTTCATTCAGATTTGAACCCCTGCTGAGAATTTGCATTTTTAACAAGTTCCCAGGTTATGCTGATGCTGCTGGTTAGGGACCAATTCTGAGAACCACTAGTAGAGCAGTGGTTCTTAAAATTCATTATACATAATGTTGTAGGGGAAGAACATCATAAAGTTAAGTGACGCAAAAAGTAAGTTTTATTCGGCA